TGATTTTTCGATATTTCAGTTTTTGATTCTTTAATTTTTCGGTTTTTCAATTTCTGGATTTTTCGATTTTTCAATTTCTTGATTTTCAATTTTTCGGTTTCTTAATTTTTGATATTCTAGTTTGAGATTTAAATTTTTTTGATTCTTTAATTTTTTGATTCTCCAAGTTTTCGATTTTTAAATTTGTCGATTTTCCAATTTTTCAATTTTGGCATTTCTAAGTTTCCGGTTTTTCGATTTCTTTTATTTTCCCATTTCTTGATTTCCCGACTATTCGATTTTTCTATTTCAGATTTTTCAATTTTAAATTTTTGATTTTTCAATTTTTTAATGTTTCGATTTCTGGATTTTTCAATCTTTCGATTCTTCAATTTTTCGATATTTTAACTCTTCGGTTTTTAAAATGTTTGATTTTTTGTCATTTTTTTCAACTTTTAAATTTTAGATTTTCCAATTTTTCGATGTTTTTCGATTTATCGACGTCTCAGCTTTTCAATTAAGTATTAAAAATTTTAGATTTTTCGATTTCTCAATTTTTCAACATTTCAATTTTGGCAAAATTTCAACTTGTCGATTTTTCAATTTTTCGATGTTTTAATTTTCCTCTATGTTTAATTTTTTAATATTTCAATTTTTCCACTTTTAGTTTTTTCGATTTCACGATTTCTCGATTTTTCAAGTGTTCGATTTTACGATTTATCAAGTTTGAGAATTTTTCAATTTCTGGATTTTTCGATTTTTTGATGTTTCGATCTCTCAATTTTCCGATTTTTCTACCCCTCAGTTCCAGATTTTTCAACTTGTTATTTTTAATTTTTTATTTCTCGTGTTGTCAATTTTTCGATTTCTCGAGTGATCCATTTTTCGTTTCCTCAATTTTTCAAGTTCTTGATTTTTATTTTTCATTTTCCCGACTTTTTAATTTTCTTGAATTTATATACCAATTTTTTGTATTTTCGTTTTATTTATATTTTTAATGTTCGATTTTATACTGATTCATTTATTCAATTTTTCAATCTCGTTTTCATTTTACAATTTTGACCAAAAAATTGAAAAATCGAGAAATCGAAAAATTGAAATATTGGGAATATTTAAAAAACGGGAAATTGAGGCATCAAAATATCGTAAAATTTAAGAAATCGAAAAAAATCAGAAAAACTGAAAAATCAAAAAGACGAGAAATCCAGAAAAATTGGAAAATAGAAAAACTGAACAACAAATATCGAACAATTGGAAAATCGAAAAATCGAAAAACCAAAACACCGAGAAATCTAGACATCAAAAATTATTAAAAGCACAAATTGAAAAACTCGTAAAATTGAAATGTTGAAAAATTGAGAAATAGAAAAATCGAAAAGTTGAAAAATGTAGTTTTACATTTGTAAGACTCAGGAAATCCAAAAATCAAAAAATTTAAAAATCCAAAATTGTAAAATTTGAGAAATCGAAAAGCTGAAAAACCGAAAACAGAAAAATGAAAAAAATGAGAAATTGAAACATAGAGACAAAAATCGAGATCTCCAAAATTTGAGAAGGCGAACAACTGAAAAATCAATAAATTGAAAAACCGATAAACCGAAAAATTCGAAAAATCAAAAATTTAAAAAATCACAAAATTGAAAAATCTTAGATCGAGAAGTCGAAAATACGGAAGGTCAAGAAATCAAAGCATCAAAAAATTCAAAAATCTAAAATGTAAAAATTGGAAGAATTGATAAATATACCAAAATGGACGAATTAAGAAATCGCTCAATCCAAACAGCCAAAAATTAAAATATCGAAAAATTGAAAAAAAAAAAATGGAAAATCTAAAATCAAAAAAACGAAATATTGAAAAATCCGAAAGCTGCTTTCTAGAATAATTGGACAATCCAAAAATCGGAATCTTAAAAAGTCGAAAAAACGAGAAATCGAAAAGTCGAGAGGTCGAAAAACTGAAAAATTAAATAACCAAAATACTGAAAAATTAAATAACCAAAAAACCGAAAAATTGAAATTCGAAAACTCAAAAATACTAAATGTTACAAAATTGAAAATCTAAAACCGGGAATTCGAAAAATCAAAGTATCAATAAATTGAAAAATCTAAAATTTAAAAATTGGAAAAATTGACAAATATAGAAAAATCGAACATCTGAAAATTGAAAAATTGAGAAGTCGAAAAGTCGAGAATTTCACAATAGAAAAATCCAAATCTCGATAAATAGAGAAATCGAAAAACGAAAAATCACAAATTATTAAAAGCACAAATTGAAAAATCTAAAACCGAGATTCGAAAAATCGAAACACCGAGAAATCCAGAAATTGAAAAGCTCCTAAAATTGAAATGTTGAAAAATTGGGAAATCGAAAAATCGAAAAGTTGAAAAATTGAAGTATTAAAAAAGGTAAAACTCAGGAAGTCCAAACATCAAAAAATTGAAATATCCAAAATTGTAAAATTTCAGAAATCGAAAAATTGAAAAACCGAAAACAGAGAAAAATGAAAAAACTGAGAAATCGCCACATAAATTTGAAAAACCGATAAACCGAAAAATTTGAAAAATTAAAAATTTTAAAAAATTACAAAATTGAAAAATCTAAGATCGAGAAGTCTAAAAATCGGAAGATCTTGAAATCAAAGCATAAAAAAAATTGAAAAACCTAAGAATTGATAAATATACAAAAATACTAACAGCCAAAAATTAAAATATTCAAAAATTGAGAAAAAGGAAGACTGAAAAATCGCGATATCGAAATCTAAAAAAAAAATGGAAAATCTAAAATCCAAAAAACGAAATATTGAAAAACCCTAAAGCTGCTTTCTCGAAAAATTGGAAAATGCAAAAATCGGGATCCTGAAATGTCGAATAAACGAGAAATCGAATATTGAAACATCAAAAAGTCGAAATATAAAAGATCGAGAAATTGAAAAGTCGAGAGGTCCAAAAATCGAAAAATCGGGAAATTGAAGAAACTCAAAATGCAAAAATTATTATTGCAAAATTGAAAAATTTAGAATTTAACAAAAACAATAGACCAAAAATAGGCAAATTGAAAAATTGAAAAATCAGTACACTGAACAACTAAAAAATCGGTATATCGAAAAATCTTGACAAATCGAGAAATCGAAAAACTTAAAAATTAAATAACCAAAAAACCGAAAAATTGAAATTCAAAAACTCAAAAATACTAAATGTTACAAAATTGAAAAATCTAAAACCGGGAATTTGAAAAATCGAAGTATCAATAAATTGAAAAATCTAAAAGTTAAAAATTGAAAAATTGAGAAGTCGAAAAATCGGGAATTGCACAATAGGAAAATCCAAATCTCGATAAATAGAGAAATCGAAAAACGAAAAATCACAAATTATTAAAAGCACAAATTGAAAAATCTAAAACCGAGAAGTCGAAAAATCGAAACACCGAGAAATCCAGAAATTGAAAAACTCGTGAGAAATCGAAAAATCGAAACGTTGAAAAATTGAGTTTTACATTTGAAAGACTCAGGAAATCCAAAAATCAGAAAATTGAAAAAACCAAAATCGTAAAATTTGAGAAATCGAAAAACTGAAAAACCGAAAACCGAAAAATAAAAAAAATGGGAAGTTGAAACATAAAGACAAAAATCGAGATCTCGAAAATTTGAGAAGTCGAACAACCGAAAAATCAATCAATTGAAAAACCGATAAACCGAAAAATTCTAAAAATCAAAAATTTCAAAAATCACAAAATTGAAAAATCTTAGATCGAGAAGTCGAAAATACGGAAGATCAAGAAATCAAAGCATCAAAAAAATCAATAATCTAAAATGTAAAAATTGCAAGAATTGATAAATATACCAAACAGCCAAAAATTAAAATATCGAAAAATTGAAAAAAAACGGAAAATCTAAAATCAAAAAAACGAAATATTGAAAAATCCTAAAGCTGCTTTCTAGAATAATTGGACAATCCAAAAATCGGAATCTTAAAAAGTCGAAAAAACGAGAAATCGAAAAGTCGAGAGGTCGAAACACTGAAAAATTAAATTACCAAAAAACCGAAAAATTGAAATTCGAAAACTCAAAAATACAAAATTGAAAAATCTAAAACCGACAATTCGAAAAATTGGAGTATAAAAAAAATCAAAAATTTAAAATTTAAAAACTGGAAAAATTGACAAATATAGAAAAATCAAAACTTGAAAATTAAAAAACTGAAATATCCAAAAATTTGAAGGATCGAAAAACTGAAGAATTGAGAAATCGAAACATCAAAAAATCGAAAAATAAAAAATTTAAAATTTAAAAAATCGATATATTGAAAAGTCACAAAATTGAAACATTGAAAAATTCGGAAATCAAAAAACCGGAAAATCGAGAAATCCAGAAATCTAATAATAAAAACCTTGGAAACGCCAAAAATTGGAAAATCGAAAAATTGAAGAATCAAAAAAAACTGAAATAACAACAAATTGATAAATCGATAAATCGTAAAATACCAAAACTGAAACGGTAAAAAATTGGGAAATTGAGAAATCAAAAAATTGAATGGGAAAATTGAAGAACCAAATATTGGAATATTGTGAAATCAAACAACTGAAAAATCGAGAAATCGAAAAATTGTTATACAATTTTAATCTTTTTTCCAAAAGTGTCGATGCCTAGAACACCAAATAGTAGATCACAATTTGATGACTATATGCCGCAATGGCATGAACAGTTAAATTTTGATCAACGATTTACAATGCTTCCGATAACCTGAAAACGTTTACAAGATTTCAGCGCATTTTACAATTTCAAAGTTGAATGTAAAATGTCATACAATTTTGATTTTCTTTTCCAAAAATCGAGTTGCCTATGGTGAAAACTCAACACGGATTCATAAACCACAAGTGGAGGAGTACGTTATTTTATTAACATTTACTTTAGTAAATGCAACTTTTATATATCATTTTCATCATATTTTTTCCACCTAGCAGCAAAACATTCCTAACGTTTATTTCATCAAAAAAAAAGAAAAAGAAAAAGAAAACAATCAGGTAGTAGTAATTCCATTTTTATTTCGTAAAATATCTCAACAAGAGGTGGTTAACCTTAAAAACTGCTACGGTTCGACGTATGGATCTCCCGCACAAATCCCCACCCACATATCTTTAAATTTCTCAGTGGAAATAGGGACTACACACATGGTGTTAAATTCGGCTTCCACTTCTGAATCTTCGTAATATGGGTTATTGTACCCGTAAATCGTAAAGCTACCTTCAAACGTGAACCATATCCACTTCGGAACAGGTACTGTACTCCCAACAACGTCTAAGTAAAGCTCCACCAATTTACCCTCGGAGTTCTTCAGCGTGGCGACCCCGACGGTACCAACCACGTACGACTTTGGTTTCAGCGTCAGCCCAGTAACGAAGCTGTTCACAAATTCGCTAAATACATTACGAAAAGGACTCCATTGTGGTACCGTGTTGGCATAAACCAACGACGCCTTATCGAACTGTGCATATTTGAAGATGTAACTTGGCAGCATTTGTCCCTTAATCAAATAAACTTCATCAGTAAGGTACTCAGAAAGCAATAATTTGCTGAATGTATCCTCTTGCTGGTTGTAAAGATCGTCCATGTCGACATAGTTGTACACGTGACCGTCGTCGACAAAGTGGTCATGTGTTTCGGTGAAAAATTCACCCCACTGGTAGAAAGAAACATTGAAAGCAATCCTCAAAGGCACGAGTTTTTTTGAGTCGAAACATAAATTTTAAATTTAGGTTAGAGCGTATTAGCAGTGATAAGACCGACACTCTCTCTTTAATTAATTTTTAGTGGTTAAAGTGCCTTGTTTTTTCTTGAATTTTGGACAGTGTCTGGAAATTAGGATTATCTACGCCCTGTGTCACTGTTGTCGCCTTTTGATTGCGTAAGTTAAGGGGTTTCTCTATTTTGTACGTGGCTTCTGCATTTTTTGCCCTTTCACGTGATAACGTTATCTTGGTTTTATTGATTAATTAGCTTTAGCTTTTTGCTACAATATAGCTGTATCCTCTGTCTCTTTTGTTTTACCTTCCCTGGTCTAGTCTGTTTGTCAAGTACTGTCAGTCACCACGACGGACCGCGTTGGTGTGAAGAATTGTTTCCTTGTTATCCTATTAATATGGCAGTTCTATGTTTAATTTGTGAGAATGCTATCACCCCTACGACTCCTTCTACAAAATGTGGTACATGCAAAAAACATGCACATATTAAATGTTTAAAACTGAGTGAGTCTGAAATAGCTGAAATAATAAACGACAAATCTTCTTGGATTTGTCCTAAATGCTCGCCTTCTAGTAACATAATCTCAATTGAAAAAATTGAGGAAATCATTATAAAACAACTAAGTGTGGTGCAACAGGACATTAAACAAACTATTGAAAATCACTTCAAAGCTATCAATGACAGATTAACAACCGTTGAGGATAATGTACGACTAATTCAGGAGGAATGGGCAGCGTTTAAGACGTCTAATACAATGCCTAATAACAATTCATCTGATCTTAATGTGATTGTGGCCGAAATTGAGGAGCGTAAAAGACGGAGCTCTAATGTACTATTGTTTAATTTACCTGAATCTTCTTCTACATCGATTGCACAAAGGGTTGCGGACGATTTGCAACAGGTTATGTCTATTTTATCCCCGTTGGGTTTCATTTCTCATCCTCAAAAAGTTATTCGCATTGGTCCTCCTAAGTCTAACACTGTTCGTCCTTTGAGAATAGTTTGTGAAAATGAGAATCTGGCTAAAGACATTCTCCGCTCAAACAAAAATAACCCTAATCGTGATAAATTCTTTCGTCCTGATTTAACTAAACTTCAGCGTGATTTTAATAATGATATTCGCCGTGAATTTAAGGACAGGGTTTCTAAAGGTGAGAAGGACGTAACTTTAAAATACAAAAACAATCAAGCTTATATTACCAAAACAAGTTCATCTCGCAATAGTTTTTCAAAAAAGTAATAAACTTTTACTATCAGAATGTTGGTGGCCTTAGGTCAAAATTAAAGGAATTTTCGTTAATGGTTAATTCTAGTGTTTACGATATTATTATTATTTCGGAATCCTGGCTTTGCAGCAGTATTTCCAACGAAGAACTGGGTTTAAATAATTATAGCATTTTTCGTGCTGATCGCAATGTTGATTATACGGGTAAACATCGTGGTGGTGGTGTGTTGATTGCGATCAGGAATGATTTTTGTGTTCATACTGTTCTTTGTAGTATTTCTGTGGAAAGCATTTTTGTTCATTTAAAATATAATGATTTAGATTTGATTGTTGGGGGTGTGTATATTCCTCCTGCGTCTCCTCTTAGTATTTTCGAGGATTATTGTAGTGACCTGGAATTAATTTTTGAGCGTTTTCCTGATTCATCTTATGTCATCGCCGGTGATTTTAATTTACCACATCTCGTCTGGAATGGTAATGATATTCTTTTTGATTCATCGACTAGTAAACATGAATATTATGACGTTATTAACTCAACTTCAGCATTTCTGAATCTTAAACAAGTTAATTTATTTCCCAATGGCAGAAACGTTTTTCTTGATCTTATTTTTACAAATATTGTTGCACTTGCAGTTTTGCCTGCTGTAGATCCTATTTTTCCTCAAAGTCTTCATCACTCTCCGTATTCATGGTATATTTCCTGCACCTCTTCATCTTCGCTTCACTCTGAAGTTCAAATATTTGACTTTAATAATGGTGACTATATTTCTTTAAATGAATTTTATGCATCGATTAATTGGGATAATTATTTTCTTGGTCTTAATTTGGATGAAAAAGTGGCAGTTTTTTATGACATAGTTTTTAACGGGTTTGAACAATTTATTCCACATAAAATATTAAGGCATAATGCTCGTAATAATTATCCGGTATGGTTCGATAAAGAATTGAAAGATCTTTGTCGCAATAAACGCATAGCGCACTCTATCTATAAAAAATCAGGCAGGTTTGAAGATTATATTTATTTTAAATCCTTGAGATCGCGATGTAAACAGTTATGTGAACAACTGTATGCTGCGTATATATCTAACGTTAATGTTAGTATTTTTAATAATCCCAAATTTTTCTGGAAATTTGTTCGTGACAAAAAGAAGAGTGACAGCAGTATTCCTGCTGAAATGACACTTGATCAGCACTCTGTAAAAGGTGGGGATGAAGTGGCTAATCTTTTTGCACAATATTTTTCTTCTGTTTACGCAGTTGATGACTTGAGGAATTTTGCTTGTTGTTTTGATTCATCGTCTCAAGTGAATGATTCTGGCTTATATATTAGTTTATCAGATGTTTTTAATCATATTTCCTTGTTGAAGTCATCTTGTAATCCTGGCCCTGATGGTGTTCCCAGCATTGTTCTAAAAAACTGTAAATTCTCTCTTTGCTTACCTTTATTTATCTTATTTCAAACGTCACTCAGTGAAGGCGTCTTTCCTCAATTATGGAAGAACAGTTATGTAATTCCCATCTTCAAATCTGGACAACGTAACAACGTGGACAATTATAGAGGGGTCTGCAACCAATCTGCAATTCCCAAATTACTTGATGCTATTGTATCCATTCAGCTCCGATGGGCATCTGCATCTATTATCTCAAGTAGTCAGCATGGTTTTTTCTCTAACAGGTCAACATTGTCTAACCTTCTTGAATACAAATCATTTTTAAATGAAGCATTTGCCAATCGATCGCAAGTAGATTCTGTTTATACAGATTTTTCAAAAGCTTTTGATCGGGTTAATCATCGATTGCTAATTGTAAAGCTACATAAGTTAGGTTTTAGAGAAGGTACGATTAAATGGCTATCTTCTTTTCTGGTTGACAGAAAACAACAGGTACGAATTTATAATTATATTTCGGCCCCTTTTTGCGTATCTTCTGGTGTTCCACAAGGTACACATTGTGGACCCATTCTTTTTTTGTTATTTATTAATGACTTAACTTGCAGTTTCCATTTTTCAAATTATTTACTGTATGCAGATGACCTGAAACTATTTAAAACTATACGGTCCATTCAAGACGCTAAACAACTTCAATTGGACTTAGTTGCATTATTTAACTGGTGTCAAAATAACTGTCTTCATTTAAACATTAAGAAATGCTATGTAATATCATTTTATAAAACCAAATCGCATATCAGTTTTGATTACCAATTAGACAATGTCTCCGTCTCACGAGTTTTAGAAATAAAAGATTTGGGGGTGATTTTTGATACGACCCTTACATTTAAGAGCCATTATAACCATATTTACAATAAAGCCATGAGTATGTGGGGTTTCATTTGGCGTCATTGTAAAGATCTGTCTCCATTGGCCCTAAAATCTCTCTACTGCTCTCTTGTTCGATCGCATTTTGATTATTGCTCTTCTGTTTGGTTTCCTTTTTATAAAATCGACTATGAGAGACTTGAAAGAGTACAAAATAAATTTCTTCGAACTGTGGAATTTAAAATGGGTCATTCTCATATTAAGGGTGACTACCGATGGATTATGGATAAGTGTCAAATTCACTCTCTTATTATCCGTTGGAAAATTTCTGATGCCTGTGTTCTTCATGACATTATTAATGGACATATTGACAATCCAAGTCTGTTGAACAGATTGTCTTTTCTTATCCCTGCAGTTGACAGTCGTACAACAAGAAGTCGAAACATATTTAGAATATCAACATCAACAACACTTTTGGCTCAAAATCATCCGTTAAGAAGAATGATGGAAGAAGCTAATGAATATTCCTGCCGCATTCGAATCTCAATCTTTGATTCTAGTAGGCTGAAATTTAAAAATGATGTGTCGGTTTATTATTATTATAATATGTAATCTTATTTAGTTTCATTTTCAACTTTTTATTTGTTTAATTTGTATTAATATTGTACTGTATCGTGGAATCAAGAAACACTGTTTTTTTTTTCCTTTATTTGTAAAGTGGAGTTATATTCCGTAAATAAATTATTATTATTATTATTATTATTATTATTATAATGTGTACAGGGTGGTAAACTGGTTTGATTGTGGGTATCCCAGGTTGACGTCATGGCCTTTATTTTGACATATACTAGTTCTTACTTGAGCCGTCGCAGGAACTTTCTGTACGCATTTAATATCGGCGAATGTAAGGTATGCCGATCTGTAGTACAGGGAGAGATGGGTACTGTTATAGCAAGATACCCTACCGGGAATGTCGGGGAGGTCTGGGCTAGTATATCCTTCGATACAACCTAGCAAAAAATTAGCACCACGAGTGAAATTAATTGTAGTTTCGTTGCTCTCAGGGAGTAGAATTTTGTATTGTAGATCTAAGACTAAGACGTTGGAGCTGGATATGTCCAGGACACAGACTGCAAATCAGGATTAAATGACACAAGTTTTAGTCTATCGTGGAACTTACCTTGCGCGTTAGTTCCTAGTACAGAGAGAAAAAACACTATTAAAGATATAATCAAATTCAACATTTTTTCAACAGTATGGTATGATTGATCTATCCTCTCTAGAACTAAAGCAAACTGTGAAATAGTTTTGATTTTAAAGGTTTTGTAATACACAGATTGACGTAATGCGTGGTGAGATCGATCATTTTCAAGGGTCGACACTTGACAGGGTACATCCATCCTAACAATAATTAATATCTATTTTCGTATAAAATTGCAAAATTTGAGAGAGACTTTTTTTTGATAATGATAAGAAACATTCGTGCTGCTTTTTGTGCCAACTTATCACTGATAACGATAACGTTTTCTAAAAATTTCGTTAACCATCGCGTTTGATTGTAAACATCCGGACAATTTATGAGTGAGTCATTTAAGTCAAAGTTAAACAGAAGTTTGTCGAAAAATTGAAAAATACAGAATTTGAAAAAATTTTTGATAAAAAAAGGCGAACAATTTTTAAAAGTGAAAAACCAGGATGTCAAAAAACAAGAATCAAAAAATCCTAAAATGGAAAAATTGAAAAAATAAATTTAAAAAAATCTAAAAACTGAAAAATCAAAACATCAAAGGATCGAAAAAATCAAGAAATCGACTAAATCGAAAAGTTAGAAATTGAAAAATTGTAAAATTTAAAATTAGATAATATTTAACAATCGAAAAATTAAAAAATGTTAAATTTAAAAAAATTGAAAAATATAAAATTCGAAAAATGAAAGATCTGGAAGTTTGAAAAATCGGGAAATCGAAAAGTTGAAAGATCAAAACATGGAAAAATTCGAAAACCGAAAAATCGAGAACTCCAAATGTCGAAAAAACAAAAAATTAAGAAATTGGAGAAGCCCAAAACCCAAATTTAATAATTGAAACATTGAATAACTTAAGAAAATCCATAAATCGAAAAATCGGAAAATTGAGAAATTGAACAATCGAAATACGAAAAATCGAAACATCGAAAAATCACAAGATTGAAAAATTAACGATTCGAAAAATCGAAAAACCAAGATATCGAAACCTCGGAAAACTCGAAGACCGAAACATTGAGACATGAAGACATCAAATGATAGAAAAATCAAGAAATCGAAAATTCGATAAATCGAAAAATCGAAAAATTTAGAAATTGAAATATGCCAGAATCGAAAAATCGGAAAGTTAATAATTAAAAAATTGTAAAATTTAAAATTAGAAAACAAACGAAAAATTGAAAAATGCAAAATTTAAAAAAATGATAATTTAAAATATCAAAAAATAGAACATTTGGACAATTGAAACATCGAGAAATCGGGCAAAAAAAAACGAAAAATCTAAATAATTTAAAAAAATCGAATTATTGAAAAGTTCCAGAATTGAATTCTCGAAAAACTGGGAAATCGAAAAATTGAAAAATCGGAATATGTATCGCAAAATTCCAAAATCGAAAAATCGAGAAATCGAAACATTAAAATACCCAAAGATTGAAAAATTAAAAAATCTAAAATTTAAAAATTGAAAAATGAAAAATTTACAGTTCGAAAAATCGGAAGACCAAGAGATCGAAACCTCGAAAAACTCAAAAATTGAGAAATTGAACAATCGAATATGAAAAATCGAAACATCGAAAAGTCAAAAGATTGAAAAATTAAAAAGTCTATAATTTAAAAATTGAAAAATTGAAAAATTAACGATTCAAAAAATCGAAAAACCAAGATATCGAAACCTCGAAAAACTCGAAGACCGAAACATTGAGACGTAAAGACATCAAATGATAGAAAAATCAATAAGTCAAAAATCGAAAAATTTAGAAATCGAAATATGGCAAAATCGAAAAATCGAAAAGTTAAGAATTGAAAAATTGTAAAAGTTAAAATTAGAAAACAATCGATAAATTGAAAAATGCAAAATTTAAAAAAATAGAAAAATTAAAATATCAAAAAATAGAAAATTTCGACGATTGAACATCAAGAAGTCGGACAAAAAAAAACGAAAAATCTAAATTTAAAAAAATCCAAATATCGAAAAGTTCCAGAATTGAATTCTTGAAAAACTGGGAAATCGAAAAATTGAAAAATCGGAATATCGCAAAATTCGAAAATCGAAATATTAAAATATCCAAAAATTGAAAAATTAAAAAATCCAGAATTTAAAAATCTAAAAATGAAAAATTTACAATTCGAAAAATCGGAAAACCAAGAGATCGAAACTTCGAAAAACTCAAAAATTGGAACATCGAGATATCAATACATCAAAGGATTGAAAAATCAAGAAATCGAATTTGTTAAGTCGAAAAATCGGAAAGTTAAGAATTGAAAAATTGTAAAATTTAAAATTAGAAAAAAATCTAACAATCGAGAAATTGAAAAATGTAAAATTTTGAAAAATCAAAAAATCAAAAGACTGAAAAAACAAAAAACTGAAAAATCGAAAATCGAGAGATCGAAAAATCTAAAAATTAAAAAAAAATTAAAATTAAAATATCGAAACATACCTACATTTGAAAGATTGAAAAATCAAAAAGTCAAAAAGAAAACGAAAAACCAAAATTTTTAAAAAATTGAAATCTTCAAAATTCTAGAACTGAATCCTCGAAAAACTGGGAAAACGAAAAACTTAAAAATCGAAACATCGAAAAATTCAAAAATCGAGAACTTGAAAAGTAAAAAAAAACAAAAAATGAAGAAACTGAGGTAGCCCAATCCAAAAAATAATAAATGAAACATGGAAACTTTTAACCAAATCGATAAATCAAAAAATCGGAAAATTGGGAAATTGAACAATTGAAATACGAAAAATCGAAATACGTCAAAATCGAAAACTCGTAAAGTTAAAAATTGAAAAACTGTAAAATTTAAAATTAGAAACTATCGAACAATCGAAAAATTGAAAAGTGTAACATTTAAAAAAATGAAAAATTGAAAAATTAAAAAACAAACAACTGAAAAATCGAAAAATCGCGAAATCGAGAAATCAAAAACTCTATAATTTAAAAAAAATGAAGAATCAAAATATCGAAAAATTGAAGATTTGAAAGATTGAAAAATCGAGACATAAAAAAACGAAAAACCTAACGTTTAAAAAGTCGAAATATTCCAAAATTCCAGATTGAATTCTTAAAAAACTTGAAATTTAAAAAATTGAAAAATCGAAACAGGAAAATTCGAAATTCAAAAATTGAGACCTCAAAAAGTCGAAAAAACAAAAAATTAAGAAATTGAAGAAACCCAAATCCAAAAACTAATAATTGAAAAATTGAAAAATTTAACAAAATCTTTAAATCGAAAAATCAGAAAATTGAAAAGTTGGAAAATTTGGATAATCGAAATACGAAAAATCAAAAATTATAAAAATCACAAAATTGAAAGATTTAAAACCGAGAAGGTGAAAAATCGGGATATCAAGAGATCAAAGCCTCAGAAAATTGAAAAATTCAAAATATAATAATTGGAAAAATTGAACAATTGAAAAATCATGTAATCGAGAAATCTAAAAATTAAAGTATCGAAAAATTAAAGAATCTAAACATTGAAAAACGAAAAATCTAAAATTTAAAAAATTGAATCGAAAAATCGAAACATCGAAAAATTGGAAACGTTTGGGCGCCACCAAGGTGTTAGCCTGCGAATCCTGACTCGCGATGGTACCGCCGCCTACGCTGATTCTCTCACCACCGCCATGTCATCTATCTGTCTGTCCGCGACCGTTACCCAGTAAAGTGTTACCGCGCCGGGTACCTCATTTTTGCTATATAATTATTATGTAGTGTGTGTGCACAATACCTGCTTCCATTGTTCTGCTTCTCATCTGTTTCAATTGCTCAATATTTCACGCTTACTTGACAGGAAAATCGAAAAGTCGGGAACCCAAAAGGTTGAAAAACCAAGAAATCGAAATATTGAAACATCATGAAATCCAAATATAAAAGATCGAAAAAGTGAAAAATCGAGGAGTTGAAAAATCGAAAAATCAAAAAATCAAGAAACTGTAAAAGCCCAAAAATTAATTGAAAAATTGAACAATCGAAACATGACAAATCTTGGCAAATCTAGAAAGCGAAAAACTGAATCACCAAAAAAAACCCAAAAATTGAAAAGCCCGGAAAACCCGAGAAATAAAAAATTTTAAAACTACAAAACTGAAAACTTGGAAACTGAGAAGTCGAAAAATGGAGAGATCGAGAAATTGAAGCCTCAAAAAATTGAAAAATTTAAAATTTGCAAAAATTGACAAATAGAAAAATCGAACTGAAAAATCGTGAAATCAAAAAATCTAAAATTTAAAAATTCAAAAAAATTACAAAATCGCAAAACTGAAACACTGAAAAATTGAGAAACCGAGAAATTGAAAAATCAAAAGATTGAAAAATTAAAAAGTCTATCATTTAAAAGTTGAAAAATTGAAAAATTAACTATTCGAAAAATCGAAAAACCAAGATATCGAAAACCGAAGCATTGAGACGTCAAGACATCATATGATTTAAGTCAAAGTTAAATATTAGTTTGTCGAAAAATTGAAAAATCCAGAATCTGAAAAGTTCCCAAAATTGGAATGTTGAAACATTGAAATATTTTTTTGATAAAAAAAGGCGAACAAGTTTTAAAAGTGAAAAACCAGGATGTCAAAAAACAAGAATCGAAAAATCCTAAAATGGAAAAATTGAAAAAATAAATTTAAAAAAATAATTCGAGAAATTGAGAAATCCGAATAGGCCAGTCGAAAAATCGAAAAGTTAAAAATTGAAAAATTGTAAAATTTAAAATTAGATTAATATTTAACAATCGAAAAATTGAAAAATGTTAAATTTAAAAGAATTGAAAAAATATAAACATCGAAAAATGAAAGATTTGAAAGTTTGAAAAATCGAGAAATAGAGACAAAAAACGGAAAAGCTAAATTTAAAAAAATCTAAATATTGAGAAATCCCAGAACTGAATTCTGGAAAAACTGGCAAATCGAAAAATTGAAAAATCAAAATATCGAAAAATTCGAAAATCAAAAAATCGGGAACTCCAAATGTCGAAAAAACAAAAAATTAAGAAATTGGAGAAGCCCAAAATGCAAAAATGAATGATAATTGAAACATTGAAAATTTTAACAAAATATTTAAATCGAAAAATCGGAAAATTGGGAAATTGAACAATCGAAATACGAAAAATCGAA